CCCGAAACATCATCCTTCCTGCTCCTCTGATGCTGCTTGGCCTGCTGTGTTCATCCAGCTCTACACCTTGTTATCTCAGATTCTCCAGCATCTGCAGTTCCTACTATCTCTCCCACTACCCTCTGTCTGCTACCACGAAGACAATTTTGGATTCAACTTGCCAAATTTCCCTGGATCCCGTGTGCTTTTAGCTACTTTATCAGTGTCCCATGTGGGACCTTGTCAAAGGCTTTGCTGAAATCCATATAAACTACATTAACTGTGCTTGCCCCCATCTACACATGTGGTCGTCTCCTTGAAAAATTCAGAATTCATTAGGCATGACCTCTATCTGACAATGCCGTGCTGACTGTCCCTGATCACACTTTGCCTCTGTAAGTGCAAATTAATTTGCTCTTTCAGAAATTTCCCTACCATTGCTGCATATCTCACTTTTCTGTAATTCCCTGGTTTATCGTTAACACCCTTCTTGTTAAGAGGAACCACATTAGCTGTCCTCCAGTCCTTTGGAATCTCCCCTGCAGCCAGGTGGGAATTAAACATTTTTTCAGAATCTGTTTAATTTGCTACCATCTCCCATAGCAGCCTGGGATACAACACATCTGGCTGTAGATATTGGTCCACCTTTAAGCCCACCAACCCTCCAACACCTGTTCATTCCTTCTATCAAACTGCTCAAGAAGCTTCCCAAATTCTGCACTGACATCCTCCTCCTCCCACGTGAAGACAGATTTAATATTCTACCCAAGTCCTCCGGCTCCATGCACATGTCCCTCTTATTCCCCAGTGGGCCCTACTCTTTCTTGGGTTATCCTCTTCCCCTTGATATACATAAAGGAATATATTTGGGAATATCCCTTATCATACTTGCCAGTATTTTTCATACACCTTCTTTGATATCCTAATTGCTTCTCAAGTTCCCTTTTGGCTTCTCCATACTTCTCTACAGCCTCCATTGATTTGCTCCCTTTGAAGCTGCTGTACACCTCTCTGTTCCTTATCCAGTCCTGAATATTCCAAGATGTTGCTGAGCTTGCTGCTCCTACATATCACCACAAAGGGAACATTTTGGGCCTATGTGCTCCCAATATCCAATCTGTAACAACCCCCACTGTTCTGCTGTAGGTTAACTCAGAAATGATGTCTCCAGTCCATGTTGGCACATGAACCCAGAGTCAGATAGTGTACTAATTTCATTATATCAGCAGGTCCAATGTTGAGAGCTGTAGCTTCCTTACTCCCCCATCTAATTACAGTCCTCACTCATGGCGTGTTCTTGACCTGCATGCGGAATGCAAACCCCCCTCAATGGCATTTAGTCAATGAAAGTAACTGCTGCTGTCATACCTTGTGCGAGTATCGGTCATCAAACGCATGCTTCATCATCAGGCACTTTACAATAGCTATCGCTTCATGCCGAATATCCCGAGACTCATTCAGTGCCGCGGCTAATTCCCTCAGGAGAAGGCCCACCAGGAAGTGATTCTTGCAGAAGTCTTCAGTAAGTGTGCACTCCAACTGCAAATCTGCAGGTAAAACAAATGGGTAAGACTCTCTTTAAAACCAAAGGTGGGAAAAGAAGGTGGTAGTTGAGTTAGGAGTTGCATACATATAATGTTTCACTCAGTAAACAAATGTAGGCTCACTAAAGATTGATTCTATTTCTGTCCTTTGCCAACTGATTTTTCTAGATATAACAGTTTTAAAATCAAAACATCATCACTCAACAAGTGCTGAATTTTGTGATCTGGTAATTTTCCTAGTGTCACTGCTGATTTGGCACTGCAGCTCTTCAGTATGATGGATTCTGCATTACTCTGGCATCCTAGTGGCACATTTGAATAAGATATTGAATGAGAATTGCAATGTCGAGATTCCTAGATCTTGTGATCGCCATTACTGTAACAGTCCCAAAGCCCGAGGAATGTTAATTTTAAAATTTGGAAGTGCAGGAAAAAACGCAAGGGCCAGACAAATTTCAATTGCCAGGAATAGTTAATAAATCCGATTTATTTTTAAAGTTTATGTGTTGAAGAACTGCACCCTCAAGTTGGGCCCATTCCCACATGGTTGTATACATAAATACTGCTTTATCAAAGTTAACGATCGGACAAACCCAATAAATTTAGATTAGATCAGATATTAGATTAGTGAACACGTGTAAATCTCATTTCAGAGACAGCTACCTCCATATTTAACCTCACCACAGAGAGCAACACTGATCCCCTGGAAGGCTATGTTGTACCCCTTTCAAAGAATCATCTCTCACAATGCCAGAATCAACAAGGAAAAGCAGATTTCTATTCTAATATGTACACTTCACTTCATCCCACTGTCTCCTCGTTCTGTCTACTGTGATACAAAGGATTGCCTCTATGATTCAAAGCGGAGGAAACTCACTCAGACGGGAAAAAATAATTTAAAAAACAATATTGCATGGAAATGGGCATATTGATCATCCTAGACCCTCATAATGAAGTGCACCAATTGGACTAATATCATATTCACAAGTTGTACTGGTTTTTTCTTCTGGGCATTGAAGGGTTTAATCCTGCTCCTATCAAAGAGAGTAAAAAGAAACATCCCTGCTCAAATACGTCTTCAAGTGTGAACGCTGCCACGGAAACCTTTCAATCATTAAAGCTACATCAGCTCGATAGATGCCAAAATCATTCCTTCATTCCCTGGGATTGGGCCTCTTTCCATTCTCCAGGGCCAGGTGTATCCAGGAGGCCAGGATAATGGGGAGGTTGTAAGTGAAGAAGAGAAGCAGATTAGATCGAGATCTAAAAGCAGAAGGGAATCACTGGCCGATAGAAACAGTGCTTTCATTTGGGGTTTGCCAAACTATATCTCAATAACTTGGGATCACAGTTGTCCCCACATGTGCGTGCATGCACACATTTCAGATATCGAACGGACATGCATTTTTTATATGTAGACATCTGTACATTGTACACAGATGCACACTTAATATTCCTACCCAACTGTTCTGACATCCAGAAGCGACAGCTCGTCTGGGGTTAAACCAAAGTTCCTTCTCCAAACCAGAGAGTGATCAAAGGCGCAACTCTGAGGATTGATAAAGAGCAAATGTTGTTCAATATTACTGCACCTTGGATCCGCTGGAGCCTGCTCTTCGCAAAGGACATCGGCAAATTCAAAGGGATGAAGTGCTCATGATTGCAGACTATATGCAGGAAATCCAGCTTGTATTCTGTGAGTGCCTATTGGGAGTGAGATCGTGACAGACAGAGCATTAAAGAGAGTGAATAAACCCATTACTGGTCTGTTTCCAAACACGAACCACGCTGGTTAAAGTTAACAGCCCTGAACTTAATCTGATGTTACTGCTGTTCTTAGTTAAAGGTGCGATTCTAGCACTTTCCTGCAACAATGGCGTATATCTGCTCAGGAGTCTTTGTGCTGGAGTTTGTTACATAGTTTATTTCTCTTGAGGTGAGGCCAAATCAATTATTGCATAATTGAATGAAAAAGCAAAAGAATTGTGCTAAATTCTTAGCAGGAACAAATTGCAGCTGATACAGGGTAAATTGTCACAACATAGTTTTGCCTTTAAGCTGTCAGTCTTGATTCTGCAATAATATTCTCTCACATCAGAGTCAGAAGATTATAAACTCAAACGTCACTCCAGGGAACCTAAACACACAGACTTTACGATAGAAGCTGAGTGTTGTGCTGTTGATGGATCTCACGTGGCATGTTGAAAGTCTGCCCTTTAATGCTGAATGTGAATGATGTCATGACATTATGACAGTGACTGCCCTCAAATAGCACATCAGGATATCTTGAAGTCAGAAAAGGTTGCTGTACAAAGCAGAATCTTTCCTTCTCCTACATATATTTGTTAGCATATCAACAATATCTGCTGTTTATTAATGGGATCCTCCTTTCTCCCCTTTAAATAGGCAGCATTAATATTATACAGTTTAAGAAAGTGACAGTCTAACAGAGTGAAGTATCTCAACGAATACCAGTAGCCCTCAAACACACAACAGTACCTGACCAATAAGAATAAATCGTTAAATTCCCATATATTGTCTGACTCGAAAGCACCTCTGAACCAGTAATGTCATCAACTGTGCCAGAAGTCAGCTTTTGTTTGACAGTATCATTCTTCCCTCCACTCATTTGAGCTAATAATGTACACTAACACTCGGGTACAGGACTGAAGGAGTGCTGCTCTGTTGGAGGTGCTGTCTTATAGAGGCGCACTTATATTGAGGTCTGGTCTTCCTTCCAGATGAAGGAAAATAAACCCGGGTCTTGATTTTTAAAAAAAAGAGCAGAGGTGTTCTCTAAGTGGTACGGAAGATAGTAATCCCTTACTCAACATCACAGAAACAGATTAACTCACCCACTATCACAGCCTGTGGGATCTTTGTGTGTACATTGGCCAACTGGTTTCGAAAGTAAAAGTATACCGTGGATGTTGGAAATATGAAGTGAGAACAGAAATCACTAGAGAAACTCAGCAGGCCTGGCAGCATCTGTGGAGACAGAAACAGGCAACATTTTGAGTCTAATATCAATCTTCTTCAAAATGCTCCAAAGAAGTCATACCAGACTCGAATATTAACTCTGCTTCTCTCTCTCTCTCCACAGATACTGCCAGTCCTGCTGCATTTTTAGTGCATGCTTCATATATCACAATGCTAATTATAATATTAATTCAATTGATTTAAAGCACTTTGGATGTCCCGAGGTCCTCAAAGGCCCTATAGAGAGGCATAGTTTTATTCTTTCATGCAAAGTCAACTAGAGCAACAACTTCGATGAGAAAGATCATGGGAATAAAGAGAAAATTTCACCTTGGGATCTTTGGGAGAGAAACAGCTAACGTAGTCATTTATTAAGTTGAAGATAAACCCTCTGTTCACCAGTGTTAAGCTCCGCTGTTGAATTAAGAACATACAGATTATTAAGACATGCCAACAGCCTGCACCCTCAGCAGCCCCTGATGTCACTAACTGAGGCCATTAAGAGCTAATTAATGTCCCCTTGTACAGCTCATCCCACTGTAGCTGGTATTAAGCCAGTGAAAGACTTTGAGCAAAAGAAACCTATGTGGGGTAGCTCACAGCTCCTGGGAGCATGTCCCCCTTGTGCAAAAATACTCAGTGCCTGGACAAAGGACCCAGTCAGTGTAGAGTAGGTGGGGCTCACTGAAGACAACTACACTCACCCTTGTTACCAACCTTCCTCAACACGTTCCCCTCCCCCTTCCCACCATCATTCGTGACGCACTGGCTCCTCTTCGATCAGAGGCGTTGGGTGGGTGTAGTAACGGCAGCAGCCCCACTGCCTCCCAGTGGTGCTGCTAAGGCGCTGCCATTCTCTGATGGACTGGCAGCTCACACGGGTGGTGGGCTACACGACATCCAGGGGAAGGGAAGGCTTGCCCTGGCCTGAATGGCACAACACGTGATGGATGCTCCCTTAAAGAGGAGACGTGGTGGTTTGATTATTCTCCCAATGGCAGCCTTTGTGTTGAGAAGGTTCAGCCTGTAGAATGGGTTCTGAAGGACCACAGCACAGGGAAAGCTCTACAACCACTGACAAAAGCAATTCAATTGATCATAATGGAAAAGGGGAGATGAGAACAAGACTGCTACAAATGCATTAGATGAAGATGGACTGAATGGCATTTCTCATCCATCAGTGTCTTCTGATTTTCTAACATGCAAGCAAAGGTAGCAAGTGTTGTTATACTTGAACGAAGACACACTCAATAATCTCAAGGTGGGAGGTGAATCAGTACAACATAAAGTCTCTACCTTCGTGGGGAAACATTATTGCATGCAGTGAGATTGTCTTTTTGTTGTACTGCTTGAATAATTTTGCACCAATTCTTTCCCCTACTGACCTTCATGAAATGAGCCCAGCTGATGTTCACGCTCCTGGATTCCTCTGGAATCTCCGAGTACCTCAGGTTGACGTGAGGAATTATTGCAAGGAGAAGGGAGTGCACAGTGTGCTGGAAGCTTTCTGGGAATCTCTGTGTCCTAGGGAGCTGTAAATAGATCAATTAATGTAACTACCACACAGCAAAAGACTGTCTTTCAGAATTAACACTAAACTACTCAGGCATTTAGGATGAATTATTCATCAGTTTTTAAGCCACACCAGAGTCCTGTGAGATTTTATAGAAAGTATTGCTGAAAAAAAAAAGGCATGTTTTGGCAGCACTCAAGTTCTGAATGACCAAATGACCATTTCAAACCTACGTTTTGGACTGCGTTTTTCATTTGGAATAAAATGAAGAAAGAATCATGTGACCTGTTGTTAATTCTGCTGGCAGTAAACACTTTGTTAAATATTAAAGCGGGGCCCAGGTTATGCCAATAAGAAGAAGGTACAAAATATTCACACATGGCGGAAGCATCTTTGCAAATGGTAGATAGACTGTCAGTCTCCAAGTCTCAGGAAGGTGTTGTGAACTTCAGATTGTAAACGGTTATACTCCAAACACAATAAATGGTCAAACAGAAAGCTCTGCAGTTGAAATGTTAAAATGCCCACAAAAATAGTGTTTTATCAACATTTTGATTTGTTTGTTACAGTAAAAGACTTAAAACCTGAAATCTTATCATGGCACCCTTGCTCTTCATGGAAGTTCAGACTTCTTCATCAAGGTTGCAAGTGTCCATAGGGGTCATAGAATATCTCAGAGGACCCAACAGCACATTATTTCTTCCAATTTCATTGGCGCCAACACTTCAGAAGCATGCCAATGGTTCTAAGTTTGGATGTCCTGAAAGAGGCTATCCAAATGTAAGCCTTTCTTTCCTGTGCTTCATGCATGTACAAAATAAAGTCAGCAGGAAATGAAGGACCTATCTCTGGAAGTATATCTTATACTTCCCCATTGTCTCCTGGTGAATCTACACCTTTCCCTTTCAGTGATTCCAACACCCATTCACTAACAAGATGTCCCAAACTGAATGTCCATACTCCATCTGGAACTTCTTCAGCCTCCTGTGCGGATACACACTGCACTGTATTCATCACTCCTTCATATAAAACCCGGGGTCCCCTCAGCCTCAATGAGTTGTAACCAGGTTCGTGAAGGTTGTATCAAAATGTCGGTTATTTACAGGAAGTTGTCATGAAATTGTCATGGAAATCGCCATGGGGAGACGATAGTGTTATTATCACTGGACTGTTAATCCAGAGACCCCAGCAATGTCCTAGGGTCTCAGGTTCGAATCCCATGTGGAATTTGAATTCAGTAAAAAAAAAATCTGGAATTAGCAGTCTAATGATGACCACGAAACCATTGCCGATTGTTGGAAAAACCCATCTGGTTCACTAATGTCCTTTAAGGAAGGAAACTGCCATCATTACCTGGTCTAGCCTACATGTGACTACAGACCCACAGAAAAGCGGTTGACTCTTAACTGCCCTCTGGAGTGGGCAATAAATGCTGGCCTGGACAGCAACAACCTCATCCTGTGAATGAATAAATAAAAAAATTCCACTCCAGACGGTCTCCTGGAAATGGAAGGGGTTATTCCACTCTCCAGCAGAATTTCAACATTATCTCCAGAACGTTTCTAAAACTATATTTTCTTCTGTTTGAGTGTGTGTCAGAGGATCTCAAGTATGCCCATTCCTCACGAGATGGAGAAAAACCTTGTGAATCCGAAGGTGAAGAGTCAAAGAGATTAGACTTACCTTCAGCTTGTTCTTCTCAATCAGGAACTGGGCCATTGACTTGATCAACAGTTCAAAGAAAAACCATGAATGCTGCAAGTTAAAACAAGAAAAAAATACTCAGGAAAGAGTTCTCTCTGATTGGAGATCTGATTGAAACCCTTATTCTCAGTCAGCATCTCCTTGCTTCCTTATTTCAAGCTCTTATTTCGTTATTTTTTTTAATTTATTGCTGCACTTCTTATTTCTTTATTCCTCTAATTCTTTTTCCCTAAGAATTTGTACTTAAGAATTTGTACCTAGGTACCTTGACACCTAAGATGGCATCGTAAGTGATGACTTGTAAATTTTTCACTGCACTCATATGAGTATATGTGACAATAAAGCTAATTCTAATTCTACTCCTACCATCTTGTTTCACAGGCACACTGTAACTCTCTACAAAACCATAAGAAATAGGAACAGGAGTAGACCATTTAGCCCCATGAGCCTGACCCACCATTCAATAGGATCATGGCTGATTCGATGTTCCTCACATCCAATTTCCTGGGTTTTCCTCATAACCCTAGATTCTTAATCAGTCATGGAATCTATCTATTTCAACCTTAACTATACACAAGGACTCTGCCCCCATAGCTCTCTGTGCTAAGGAGTTCCAAAGACTCACAACACTCTGACAGAAGAAATTCCTCCTCATCTCAGTCCTAAATTGGCTCCCCTTAACTCTGAGACTATGCCCTCTGGTCCTAGACTCTCCCATGAGGGAATCATTCCCTCGACATTTACCCTGTCAAGCCCCTTAACAATCGTACATGTTTCCATGAGATCACCATTCCAAACTGGCCATTCTTCACTTCAGTGCTATTAGCAGGCTATTTGCCTGCAGGTGTCATCACAGTTCAACCTCCTTCCACAACATAGGAGTCAGGAGCTGGAACTCTGATTGAATTTCCCTTCCCCTTGTTCAGGGGCGCAGAACTTGGTGAATGTACAGTGGTTTAAGTGGTAGTTTACTGGATTAACAAGGCAGTGGTCATGAGTTCAAATCCCAGCAATGCCAATTGTGAAATCTTTGATCAGAATGTCCTCCCATTAATTAGCATAATTACAATAATGCCCTATTATTCCAGGGTCACTGTGGCATTCAGCGTTTTCCATTGCAAGTTGTGATATTTTCATTTTGACTACATTCTAAACGAGTAGCATTGCTATTTTCTTCAAAACAGAAAAAAAGTCATGTACAGCAAGTACTTCCAGTTTAACGTACAGAAAATGATCAAAACACAACAAAAATGTCATCAAATTTACTCTCCGTGTGGGCCTACCAAACCTGGCTTCATCGCCTCCAGACCATCTGAGTGGTATCACTGATCACCAGAGTGTCCCGCACAGTTAAACTGATTGCCATCATGTTAGTCTCAGACTAAGTGGTGCCTCCTCTGCCTCTCGGCCAGAAATTCGTGGGTTCGACTCGCACTTCAGACAGCCGAGCACGAAAACCCATGCAGGCACTCCCGGTGCCGTTACTGAGGGAGTGCTGCACTCTCAGGAATGCTATATTTTGGATGGGATATAAAATTGAGGCCTAGCTTGCACATCAGTGGAAGCAAAATACTTCACAATTCCTTTGAGAAAAGTTGCATTCAACATTGTCTTGCTCAACATTCAACCCTCAATCAACACCGCACAAGTAGATTATCTGATAAATTATGGCTTTGCTACACGTGGGATCTTGCTGTGCACAGATTGGCTGCATGATAGGAATGGTGCCCAAGCTTCAAAAGTACTTCTTTGACTGTGAAGTGTTCAGTGACCTCCTGAGGTTGTGGTAGGTACCATATAAATCCATCATTAGGAGGCGGATGGAAGAAATAGCCTGTCAGCCATTAGAGGGTGCAGGGAGAGGGAGTCATGTGCATGGAAATATCGGTCAAATTAACAGGTTCTTAGAGGGACAGCTGGGCAAAATGCCCCTTCGCAACGAACAAAGAAAGCCATAACACAATGACAACTTGGTGGATTTTATACAATTCTGGCCTAAGTAAGGGTGACAAAACGTTCGAGTTTGCTGCATTTGCCAGTTCTGACAGAGAGAGCACCAACCTTCAGCAGTTTATTGATGGTGAGAAAATCTGCCGATTGTTTCAGGATGACGATGAGTGACCGAGCCAGCTCCTCGTGTGTTGTCTTGTTTTCGGAGGTCATGTATTGGCCTGTCCTGAAAACGTACTGAAGAGAGCAATAAATCAGTGGGAAGATTCGGCGAGCTGGATTCTCCCCCACTCCTGACTCAGCCAGTGAGTGATGAGCCCACTAAGGTCCATTTCTCAGCTTTAAGCGCTGGGGACAATTTAATCCGGGCCAAGCCCGGTGGCAAACGAAGCGATGGGGTCCAGATCATCGTGAGTGAGGCGACATTACGTGGCAGGGCATAACCCACCAGGATTAAACTGGAGCTGGGAGGGGGTTTGTGCGTGTCACTCACCCACAAGTAAGCCAGTAGACACCAATTATTTTGGAGCCCACGGGAAGTAGTGATGGCTCCTGGATGGATTGGCGGCTTCCCGATCAACCCTATTGTGGCAACTGGCCTTGGAAAGGAGATACTGAAAGCCATCCCAGTGTACTTGTCACCGACCCCTCCAGCCTTCGCCCCCTCGCCCTCACGTGCTCGAGTTCAGGAATCCAATTCTGATTCCTGCAAAAGTCCCAGGAGCATTCCCTGTAGTGGCACCACTTCTGGAGGCACAGACAGCTGCCAGGTCAGGATTTCCGGGTGGGTGGGGGGGGGGCAGGAATTGTGCTGCCAGCGGACCTTCAATCCTGAGGAAAGCTGGTAGTTCGGAACCATCTTTCAAGAGCATTCACTCCTTCTCCAAGGATTCAGAATTCCCACACTGTAGGATGAGGCCCTTGCTCCAGAGAAACTGGAATCTGCTCAGCCCAACTCTGAGTTTAGGATTCAAACATGTAGGACTCCTGTCTCAATGGAAAACCTCCACGCCAAAGCTAGACTGAAGATCCTAGGCACAGACATAGCCAACATTATGTGGAGGGGACTGCAGTTTATACAACAACCTCAACCACATCAATGCTGCTTCCAAGCGTCAGGAGCAGAATAAAACTTGCAACTTATCCTTCTACTTCAGTAACTAAGTCCCAGTATTGCTCAGGATACTAATCTATCTTAACGCCTCAAGTCTCTCTCAGTAATTCAGGAGGGGTTACCTGTTTGTTAAAGAGCAACATATAAATGCAGACTCTAGATTTATTTGAACAGCACAATTATAGCAATGTCCAAATTCTGCACAATTCAATACATTTTCAAAAAGTAAATTGCCTTGATTAAAAAAAAACTGCAGGTAGTAGAAATCTGAAACAAAAACAGAAATGGCTGGAGAAACTGAGCAAGTTTGGTAGCATCTGCGGAGAGAAAGAGGAGTTAACATTTCGGGTCCAGTGACCCTTCTTCAGAATTTTCCACTTCTGAAGAAGGGTCTGGTCAGAAGAAACGTTAACTCTGTTTCTCTCTGCACAGATGCCACCAGACCTGCTGAGTTTCTCCAGTTATGTGTTTTTGTTTCAAAATACCTTGATGTATGATCGCAAATAGTGCTCCAGTCCCTCCTCATGACATCTGGACACGATATACATGATTACTCTGAAGAGAGGTATGGAAAAGAAATTGTTTAAGAGGGAAAAATAGACAGCCCATGAACAAATCTGCAAGAGCAGTCCCCTTGGCATTGTTGGCTCCCTAATCAAAACATACAATAAACTTTCAGAGTAGATGTTTCACATTACACTGGTACTTAATTAATACAAGCGCAATCTAATAGCAGTGTGTGCACATATGCAATACACACATGTGCACAAAAATAGCAGCATCTACAGTCTAACACGCAAAGGTAAAGCAGATGACCTTGTAGCCTGGATTAGTACATGGGACCATGATGTTGTAGCCAAACTTTGTTGAGAGAAGGGTAGGACTAGCAACTCAACGTTCCAGGGTTTAGATGTTTCAGGTGAGATACAGAGGGGTGTAAAATGGGGTGGGGAGTTGCATTACTGGTTAAGGAGAATATAACAGTTGTACTAAGAGAGGACATCTTGGGGAGTTCATCCAGTGAGGCCATTTGGGTAGAGCTCAGGAATAGGAAGGCTGCAAATGATGGAGTTATACAATAGGCCTCCCAGTAGTTATCGGGAGATAGAGAAACAGATAATGTAAACAGATAATGTAAGCAGATCATGGAAAGATATAAAAACAGAAGTGTTGTTATAGTGGGTGATTTTAACTTCCCCAATATTGACTGGGACTTGCTTAGTTCTAGGGTCTTAGATGGATCAGAATTTGTTAGGTGCGTTCAGCAGGTATTCTTTAAACAAGGTGTAGACAGTCCAACTCACAAAAGAACCATACTACACCTTGTATAGTGATTGAGCCTGGCCAGGTGGCTGAATATTCAGTAGGTGGGGCATTTTGGGAACAGTGATCATAATTCCATGAGTTATGGGTAATGATAAGACTGATCTTCAGGTTGCGCTAAATTGGGAGAAGGCTAATTTGAGTCAAAAAGTAACAGAGGTCTACAGCATGAAAACAGGCCATTCAGCCCAACTTATCCATGCCACGCAGTTTTCACAATTTAAACTAAACTAAGCTAATTGTAACAGTATGAGGCTGAAAGTGGAAAAATTAGATTGGGGGTGGCTACTTGAGGCTTAATCCACATCTGAACATGTGGGAGTCTATTAAAGGCCAATTGATCAGAGTTCAGGACCAGCATGCTCCTGTGAGGATGAACGATAAGGGTGGCAAGATTCAGGAACTCTGAATGATGAGATATTAAAAAGTCAAAACAAAAATGGAAGCATGTGTAAGGCTTAGGAAACTGAAATCAGACAAGGCCCTTGGGGAATATAAACGAAGCAGGAACGAACTGAAACAAGGCTTTAGGAGGGCTGAAAGGGGCCATGAAATGTGCTTCGCAAGTAGGATCAGTATCAGTACTTATCAAGGAGAAGGACATGAAAGACAAGGAAAGGGTATCTTGATATTCAAGGGAGTGGCAATATTAAGAAAGAAGAGGTGTTCAGTATCTTGAAAAACATTAAAATAGATATATCCCCAGGGCCTGCTTGGATTACCCCCAGGATACTGAGGGAGGCAAGGGAGGAAATTGCTAGGGCCTTGACAGATGATCCAGTGATAAACCAGGAAATTATTGGCTGGTGAGCCTTACATCAGCGGTAGGGAAATTATTGGGGAAGATCCTTGGGGTCACAATTTACTAGCATTCAAAAAAGAATTAACTTATTAGGAATAGTTAGAATGGATTTGTGCAAGGGAGGTCTTGTCTCACAAACTTGATTGAGTTTTTTTGAGGAAGTGATGAAAATGATTAATGAGGGCAGGGCAGTGATGTTATCTACATGGACCTTATTGAGGCCGTTGACAAGGTGCCTCGTGTTAAACTGGTCCAGAAGTTGCAGTTACGTGGGATCCACAGTGAGCTGGTAAGCTAGATACAAAATTAGCTTGATCATAGAAGACAGAGGTAGTTATGGAGGGGTGTTTTTCTGACTGGAGATCTATGATCAGTGAAGTTCTGCAAGGATTCAGTGCTGGGACCTCTGTTTTTTTTTTTTGTTTAGTAAGTTTGCAGATGACATGAAAATTAGTGGAGTTGTAGCTAGTGAGTAAAGTTGTCCAAGGACACAGCAGAATATAGAGCAGTTGGAAAGTTGGGCGGAGAAACGGCAGAGGGAGTTTAATTCGGACAAGTGTGAGGTGATGCATTTTGGAAGATCAAATGTAAGAGGACAGCATACAATAAATGGCAGGATCTTTAGAAGCATTGATATACTTAGGGATCTTTGGGTGCAAGTCTAAAGCTTCCTCAAAGTGGCAACAAAAGTGGACAGGGTGGTAAAGAAGGCGTATGGCATGCTTGCCTTCATCAGTTGGGCATTGAGCACAAAAGTTGGCAAGTCATGTTACAGCTTTATAAAACTTTAGTTAGGTCAGATTTGGAGTATTGTGTGCAAATTTGGTCTCCACACCGTAGGAAGGATGAGGAGGCTTTAGAGAGGCTGCAAACGAGGTTGCCTGGATTGGAGTGTATTAGCTGCAGTGAGAAGTTGGAAAAACTTGAATTGTTTTCGCTAGAACATTGGAGACTGAGGGGCAACCTGATAGAAGTTTATAAATCAATGAGATGCATGGATAGAGTGGACAGTTTGAGTCTTTTACTCAGGGTGGAAATGTCAAATACCAGGAGGCATAGGTTTAACCTGTGGCTAGGGGGAGGGGGAGTGGGGGGGTAGATAAAGCAGATGCGTGAGGCAAATTTCTTATGCACAGGCTGATCGGTGCCTCGAATGTGCTGCCAGGTGAGGTGGCAGATGCAGAAACAAGAACAACAACACTCACTTAGACAGACACATAAATGGGCAGTGAATGCAGGGAGAGTATTTTCTGAAGAAGGGTCTAGGCCTGAAACATCAGCCTTCCTGCTCCTCTGATGCTGCTTGGCCTGCTGTGTTCATCCAGCTCTACACCTTGTTATCTCAGTGAATACGAGGATATGGACCACATGCAGGCAGATGGGATCAGTTTAAATCACGGTCAGCACAGACAGGTGAACCAAAGGGCCTGCTCCTGCGCTGTACTGTTCTATAAAAAAACACAACAGATACTTGTATCTCTCTCTCACTCACACATACACACACACACACACACGCATACACAGCAGCATGACACACACACACACACACACACACACACACACACACACAGACAGCAGCGTGACACACACACACACAGCAGCATGACACACACAAACACAGACAGCAGCGTGACACACACACACACACACACACACACACACACACAGCAGATACCGGCATGTGTTTTACCTGGTGGAATTGACTGCAACGTCGCTCTGGCTGGTTTTGCTAAGTATTTTGAGCAGCTGGTTAAGGATTGTTGGCAGGAAGTTGACCATCACACATGTGTCCATGGCGTGCAAACACTGGAGGAGAAAATCAACTCAAGTTACCCTCGTTTCAGGAGAGTCATGTTTGGAGCATTCTCCTCTCCATTCGAGCTACAATTCGCTATTTGGTATAATTAATTCAAAGGCTCACACAGCGATGACTCCAGATAATAAAATGACTTCCTACTCTAATAGGACAGAATACGGAACTTTTATTCCAAGTTAGTTCAAGCTGATTGTGGAACCGAAGTTACGCAAGCTTGATTCTGCTGCTTTGAATAAACTACACAAATTGTCTTCTAGCAAATTTTCCACATTAGCATTCCTGAAAAATTATGCACACTGCAGAAAATCACATAAATACTGACACATTTCTAGGGAGCTTCAATCATTAACGTGCTCCCCGGGGACTCCTGTGGCACATATCCAGAAACCTCTAGCAGTCAGTATCATCTTTCCAGGGTCTCCAGGAAAACAGTGGCACATCCTCAGTAATGTTGTGTAAATGCTGTCACATTGCAAGCAATTCTTGTCATTTCTGGTTGACATGTTACTAACAAAGAATAAGCCTCAGAGAGGAAGCAAAACCATTGATAAGGATGATAGCACACGTCCATGCAGATCTATAACGGGACAGGATTGACAGACTGCGTCTCTTCCCTCTCAAAGAAATTCAGCTGAGGAGTTACTTCACGAGATCTTCAAAACCATGAAGATTTTAATGGAATGGATAGAGAATGTTTCCTTTCATGGGGAACATACACACGGCCAAGGTGAGGCCATCCAGCTCCCCCTTGATCCTACTCCACCATATCACGTATTCTGACTATAATATCAAATCCATAGTCCTGCATGCCCCAGACAACCTTTAACCCCTTCACAAGAATATCCCTCTGCCTGAACTATATTCAAAGACACCTGATCAGATAAGGAGTTGCAATGACGCTCTGTGAGAAAATATTCACTTAACCTGTCATACATGGGCAATCTCTGTTTTTTGAACAGTCACTATTGGTTTTGGATTGTTCCCTAAGAGGTTACATCCTCTCCACATCCAGACAGTCAAGACCCTATAGGATTTTGTATATTTTAATCAAGTCACCTCATACTCCAAAACTCCAGCAGATACAAGTGGAGTCTGTCAAAACTTTCTTCGTACGACGATGTCCTGGCACACCACTTGTTACGTCTGACCAACCAGAAAAGGGCCAATAGTGTTGACTCTCTGTCGTCGAACTTTAACTAGAAGTTCTCTGCTCATCCCAATCACAAAGAAATTCAGAAGGGAATGGTGAGAATGTGGAATTCATTTAGTGGCACAGTGGCTCAATGGTTAGTGCTGCGGCCTCACAGCGCCAGGGATCCAGGTTCGATGCCACCCTCGGGCAACTGTCTGTGTGGAGTTTGCACATTCTCCCCTTGTCTGCGCGGGCTTCCACCAGGCCTTCCGGTTTCCTCCCGCAGTCCAAAGATGTGGTTAGGTGGATTGACCATGGGAATGGCAGGGTTATAGGGATAGGATGGGTGTTTGATCATAGATCATAGATCATAGAATCCCTACAGTGTGGAAACAGGCGCTTCGGCCCGACAAGTCCACACCGACCCTCAAAGCATCCCACCCAGACCCATCCCTCTATAGCACTCATCCCTGAACACTATGGGCAATTTAGCATGGCGAACCGACCTAGCCTGCACATCTTTGGACTGCGGGAGGAAACTGGAGCACCCGGAGGAAACCCACGCAGACATGGGGAGAACGTGCAAACTCCACACAGACAGTCGCCCGAGGGTGGAATCGAACGCAGGTCCCTGGTGCTGTGATGCAGCAGTGCTGACCATTGAGCCACCGTGCTGCCCTGAGTCTGGATGGGATGTTCTTCAGAGGGTCGGTGTGAACTCAATGGGCCAAATGGCCTGTTTCCACACTGTAGAGGTTCTATAATTCCATTACCGCAGGCGTAGTTGAGGGGTAACTTTATAAGTACAGGGGATAATGGAATAGAGGTTTTCGATGACAGATTCTGATGAGGAAAGAAGGGAAATGGCTCAGGTGGAACCTAAGAATGGTACTGTTGGGAATAATTGGCCTCTTAGGTACCATACCGACCTGTTTGTCTGTCTATCTCTCTCTCTCACTGTCTCTGATTCGGTCTCCTACTCTGACTCACTCTCACCAGTCCTAATAAATTGCTGTTGGATTGCTTTTTTGGTTAGGATATTTTACTACAATGAAGTAGTTAGATAAGTGAAAGTTGTTGCTGTTGACAAAGGAGAGAAGGAAACGCACTGGCAATCCAGAAAACTGGCATATCATAATCTACGCCCCTCATACAAATCTGACGCTATTTACACCCCCTGCTCTCCCAGAAAGCAACAAAACAGTGACCAATGTTCCTGAATTTAGGCTACCCAATGAGCAATGCCACAGGAGCTCAGCTAGTCTTGCCGTCCCCATAACCTTCCAGCACCCTCTCCTCAATGCAATGATTCCTAACAGAATGGGGAAAGGGCGGTAACTCCACAGCTTGGTTGGAATCTTAGAATCTTCAGGACTGAAAACAAAGCTAATGATCTTAAAATATTTGCCCAAATCCAGTAGTGTCAACATCTTTCCATTCCTGCAGTCACCTACTAGCTGATGAACGTTGAATTTTAGTCTCTGTTCTGGAAGGGGTCTCTGACCTTGTTTCATATTTTAAAAGAAAACCCTTCACAGAAGTAGCCAACATCCATCTGCCTCTATTTTGAAACTCAAATTCCAAAAATGACATTAATATATGCAAACTATTCTCACTTTACATCACAAACAGCATAAAGATGTCAGCCAAGTGTACGTCGCAAATGTTTTGCCATCTAATTCTGAAATAGTCGTCTTCCTGTCCTCATGATGTCAGCTTAGCTAACAGCCCTGCCTAATAGAACATTAGCTCAGATGGATTCTTTTTGGCAAGCAAAGTGAATTAATGCCTTTTTTTGGCTGATGCCTTGAATATCAATGTCTCAATCTTGGCAGAGAATCATCATAAAACTGATTTAAGCCTTGAATGTAGGAGGGTTGATCGCTAAATTCACAGATGGTACAATAATTGGTGCGGTAGTCGATATTGAAGAGTATAGCCTTAAGCTACAAGAAGATATAGACAGGCTGGTCAGATGGGCTGATCAGTGCAATTGGAATTCAATCCAGATAAGTGTGAGATACTGCACTTAATCAGGACAAACAAGGCAAGGGAATACATGATGAATGGCAGGACCCTGGGAAGCACCGAGGATCCGAGAGACCTTGGTGTGCGTGAACACCGGTCCCCTAAGGTATCAGGACCGGTGCATAATGTTGTTAAGAAGGCATATGGGATACTTGCCTTTATCAGTTGATGCATAGAGTTTAAGAGCAGGAAGGTTATGCTGGAACCTTATGAAACATTGGCTAGAGCACAGCTAGAGAATAGTTCTAGAATCCACATTGTGGGAGGGATGTGATAACACTGGAGACCGTGCAGAGGAAATTTATCAGGATGTTGCCTGGGCTGGAGAGTTTCATTTATGAAGAGAGACTGGACAGACTTGAGTTGCTTTCCTTAGACCAGAAGAGATTGAGAGGAGACATGATGGAGATGTATAAAATGATGAGGCGCATCAATAGCGGAGACCAAAAGAAACCTTACGCCTTGGTGAAGGGATCGGTGACCAGGGGCCACAGATTTAAAGCAAGGGGCAGGAGATGAGGGGAAACAAATTTCTCCCAGAGTGTGGTGGGAATCTTGAACTCACTGCCTGTAAGGTTGGTGGAAGTAGAAACTCTCATAACATTTAAGAAGTATTTTTTGCAGTGTATTACGTCAAATGCAATGCCAAGGAATTCAAGGCTATGGGCCAAGTGCTGGAAAATGGGAATTAGAATAGTTAGGTGGTTGTTTTTGACCAGTGCAGATGTGATGGGCAGAAGGTCCTTTCTCTGTAGATCTCTATGACTCAGTAGTGCACTAATGTGCCACCGTGCGCGCAAGTCGCTGGATGGGGACTTCAATCCATGGCCTTATGAAAACACTTTGGAAGACTTGCATCTTGCCTTCACTGTGGCAAAAAAATAACCAGGTTGAGCTATGAAAGCTATTGCCAACAACCCGTAAGCATCAGCTTTGTATGCCTAAGAAAGAGAGTCAACAACTGTAACATCGGTGCTGATACTGAGGTGTACCTGGAGAAGTACCATGCATGCTGCCCGAGATGGATTCTCCATACAGCTGGGAGGACAGACACACTAACATCAGCACTCTTGAAGCAGCCAGTAACACTAGCATCGAGGCCATGATCTTTCAAATCCAACGCTGCTAGGCAGGCCTGGTGCTTAGGATGTGACTGAGTTCCAACTGCCAAAGCAAATCAACTTCTTCCAGTTCAAGGAAGGCACTTGAACAAGAGAAAGATAAAGGAAGTGTTTCCAAGACTCCCTGAAAGCTTCCTCATGAAATGCAGCATTGATGTCAATGCATGGCAAGCCTACGTTCAGAAGAAAGCAACTTGGAGGAATGTCCTGTATGAAGGGGGACAATTCTTTGAGAACACCCAGTGGCAAGAGGAATGGGGTGGCACAGTGGTTAGCACTGCTGCCCCACAGCACCAGGGACCTGGGTTTGATCCTACCCTCAGGCAACTGTCTTTGTGGAGTTTCCCCATGTCTGCACGGGTTTGCTCCGGGTGCTCCGGTTTCCTCCTACAGTCGAAAGATATGCAAAAGCAGGTGGATTGACCATGGGAAATGCAAGGTTACAAGGATACACTGTGGGATGGGTGGTCTGGGTGGGATGCTCTTTCAGAGGTTTGCTGCGTGGACTCGATGGACCAAACAGCCTCTTTCTGCACTGTATGGATTCTATGATTCTAAGTCCAGAAAAGGACTACTTCCACTTCCCAGAAATACCTGCTAAATGTATGGTTGGAAATGTGGCTCTAGGATCAGGCTCATTGGCCACACAACGCCCCAAAGGATCAATGACCTGTGACATAGAATGTCCTAAGTGGACAATCATACTCAC